AATTTTCAAACACAATTTAATTTATTTTTAAAAACATGAATAATTAAAAAATATTACAATAAATTCCATTTGAATGTGACCTTATTAAAAAAGATTTTTCATATTTTGTCCAATATTTATAGTATAATATTTCATAGATAGAGCCAAAAGTTGATGAAAATGTTTATATGATTGTTCACAATAAATGGAATCGATTGTAATATTGGATGAGAAATAAATTGTGAGAAAAACTTAAATGATTTTATAATTTATGTTTATAAATGATAAATATTCTGTATTAATAGTATTGCTATAATTTAACAAATATTTTGTTCAGTTTTGATATGAATGAGCAAATAGTCTTTCATTGATACAGAATATTCTTATTTTTGTATTTATAATTTCTATTATTTTCGGAAAATTATGTAAAGATTTTAATAATAATTTATTTTATTACAAAGGAATTGTTTTAACAGTATTTTGTGTGTATATATAAAAATCAATGATTTCTTTACTCTACAATATTTGCAATTATTATGAAAAGACTGAACATTAAAAATCACTCATTCTGTGGCCCATTGTATAACATATGGCGCCAGTCATATCATAGCTTAACCATTATTTCTCATAACAAGTCCATTCATACAATTATAGGACAATCGACTTGTGTTTGTGTTATTTCTTTCAATCCATTCTTCACCCAATAAAACATCAAATGATTGTTCACTTTATTTGATTGGTTTGAGTCCTTTATGTTTTTAATGCAAAATTAATTGATTTATTCGTTTTGATTAAAATGTGTTTTTTATTTCACTTATTATTTAACACATCATTTGAATTGTGGTTTAATTAATGGTTGGTTTAAATAGTGAACAATATGTTGGTTATAATGGACCAAACGATGAGCAAACATACCATCGAAGCTATGCTTTGATCTGTGATTAGATGAAAGGCAAGGCATAAGGCATTGAGAATCAAAGTAAATATGAATTATTCATCAATTTCTTCAACAAATGCATGTCTTATAATCAAGTAATGAATTCATTGACGAGATTTCAATCTTTACAGTGTATTCATGAGAGACATAAAGACCAGATTCATTCAATCTGCACAACACATACACATCCATACATTTTATTTAAATTAATTCAACTCCTAAACATTAAATTTTAATCTAATATAATATAAAATATCTGGAATTCACTGAAAAGTTAAAAATCAAAGTATAGAATAGAAAACTTGCTATAAAAGGGAATCTTTGCAATAAACTATATATTGTATTGCTGTGTATTTCTTACACAAGAGTTTTTGCTCAAAATGATAGTCTTTTCCACACCAATCATATCCTAAATACCGGTAATAATGACAATAAATGGGAACAATTTCTTATGATGAGAAAAACATTTAATTTTTATGCTCTGTTTGGAGTGAAGTTTTTATAGAGTGGCCGACAGTTTGGTTTTTATAGTGAATCTTATATTTGGCATTACAAATTAGTAAATCCTTATTACAGGTACAGTAAACTTCAGTTATTATGTTGCAAAATTTATTATAACATTGTCAACTTATTAAACATTTTTCAAGTCATTTTCAATCATATAGCATTTTAAGACTTAATGTACTAAATTATCCCCATCAATACAAATAGATTAGAGTCATTGAAATATTTATAGTTATTTGAATTACTGAAACAATTATCGATTTAAACTTCAATTATATAAACTATTGAGAAGTTGATTATAAGTAAGTGTAAGAAATATACTGTATAGTAGATAGGATGAGGTGGAGTAGTATGGAGAAGTGGTGGCATAATACTGTAACATGATATGACTTACTGTGGAGTTTAATTGCCTGATTGTTAGTGTCACTCATCTCTCTGTCACTGGTATTGTGTGGTGTCTTCTGAGCTCTTGACGCCCTATTATTGGCGCCACCATTCATATCGTGCTTATTATGTGAGTTGCGATCCATCAGTAAACCCGTCGGAGCGGACAAATCATTGCCAGACGTGACCATAGATTCGTGTGGACTCGTGTGCACTGAATTTAGATATCATAGTCAATACAAACACCGATATAAAAACTTTAATATTGTGCACAATTCATTTTATTTGAGCACAAAAAATGTTATATCAATTCGTCTCTCATTTAAAGGAAATAACTTCTCGAGACTACACTACACTCTAATAAAATGCAATGAAATGAGATTTCGTGAAGTTTTCTAATTTAAAAAGTTTTAGAAAATCCAGAAAAAGTATAATATAAGTATAATTTATATTAATATAGAAGCAGTCAAGCTCTGTTTATACTGTATACTGTAAATGGTTTTTAAATATTACAATAATATCACATAACTTTTCATTTAAGTTACTTAAATATTAATAATATTTTCACAAACTGTTTAACTTCTAATATACTTTAGATTTATTAAAATAAATACACATTTGACTCACTTTTATGATAATTCCTATCATTTTCAAACTTATGATGACGGGATGGTATGGTTGGACTCGGAAGATCTAAAAATGATACGATATTTGCAATCAAGCAAATATATTTGAATACATCAAAAAGATAGTAATGTGAGAATTGCATATGAATGGCATATTAAAAGTATCAATATTATCACTTATAAATAGTACATTTCTACTCATTTAATAATATGATTGTTGGTCTAAAATGCATCCAACAGTCCAACAGTAATATTAAAGCTGAGTTGAGGTACTATTTGAATACAGTAATAGCCATTGATATGTGTTGTACAGTATAAGTGGTGAATGTGGGGGAGGAGTGAGTGAACAGACCGTAGAGGCGGACGAGGCCCTCCTTCTCGCCCTGTGTGTTTTTGGCGACACACTTATAGGAGCCGAAGTCATTGTCATCCAAATGGTTAATCTTGAGAGTCATTCGCGTCCGATAAGAGTCGTGTTCTTCACTCACTTCGTATTTATCGGATGACAAGAGAATCACGCCATCGCTTCTGATCCAAGAGGTCAGTGGTTTAGGCGATGCCTCACACCTACACTCTAATTGCACGTCACTATTGACTGTAGCGCCCACTAATTGGTTTTGTACTTTAATTTTGGGCCGAACTGTAAGGAGTGACACAATTGTAACGACTCTTTAATTGCTTTCAATCACTTGAACACAACAAAAGTTTCATTTGACAAAACAAATGAAGTCAAGCGTTAAACCTTATCCTACATTTAATCAGTGTATTACCGTATTTATCATAATATTTTATAATACAAATACTATATTCTATATATTTTATATAATGTGCATGCTGCCATAATATATATTTATAAATATATATGAAAATAGTGTTATTTTGTACAGTATTTACTGACACATTCATAAACTCTTGCATATGAATAAAGAATAAAAGAATTGGTCGAGAATTACAAAATGATTGAAATGTGAGTTCAGTTCACAGTATAATAGAGGCTCAGAAATAAGAGAAGAATTTCAAATCATTTCATTGAATCGAATTTCATATAAAAGATAAAAATAGAAAAATAAAAATAAAATGAAGTTTTTTTGAAATATTGATAATAAGAACTGAAGAATGAATTATAAGAATTGAATTGAGTTTTTGCTTTAAAAGCAATAAATTTATGATAAGATATCATTACATTCTGCTTATCAACACATATAAGCAAATAATCAAATCATAGCATACAATACAATACAATACGAGATTATACTTACAATTGATTTGAACTAAAATTCTTTTGCTAACACTTGGAGGAACACCATTTGATGAGATGCATAGATATGCACCCATGTCCTCTACCAAATAAACATACAATTCATTTATACATTCATACACAACATTTAAATAAATACCCCTGGTCACTTGAGTTATATTCAAATATTCGCCATCAACTTTAGCAGCTATGCATTCAATCATTATATTTGCAAAAGAAAGTCAAAAAATTAAATGAATTCTTCAGATAAATTATTTGCTATTAAATTAAAATAAAACTATAACTTAAATGCAACAAAATATAAAGAATTGATAGGATATGAAGTATACTGACCATGGAACTTTTTGCCGCCATAGAGACCCTGATTGATCTCCTTTGCGTCTTCCCTCCTCCAGGTCACTGAAGGCATTGGGTAACCGCTGGCCCGACATCTGAGCGACAGTTTTTGTCGTTCGTCAACAATCGTATCGGAACTCGTGTCAGATTCCACTACAGAAGGAGGAACTGTAGCCCCAATCGTTGGATTCCCACCAAAATAGGCAATGCAACCGACAATACAACCAAATGAATTCATGAATGTATTAATGAATATATTTATAAAATTCAACAAATAGTCAATTCTTTTAAGTGAATTAATTCTTTAAGGATTTCTTAAATTTAATTCTTTGTAAATAAAATAGTTATTTATTTAAATTAGATTTAAATGTTTAAAGGCATTTAATTTGATTTTTGAAAAGAGTTTTAAAATATATTTTATAGCCTTTATTGAGACGAATAAAGTGATCAAAAGATATTTTGAGAAAAAAAGCTATAAAGTGTGAAAAGAGTAGAAATAGTTATGATTTAAAGATATGACAAACGTCTGCAACAACACAATAAAAACTGGACTACAATAGTCTCGATCATAAAAATTGAAATATTGTTTGACATTAGTTTGAGACGAACAAAATTGTAAAATCCTTGGCTACTATAGCAAAAATTGTCAAAATCTAGAAAATAATGATTTAGAGATAAAACAGCTTTTTCTCTCTGAGGTTCATTCATATGGTTTGTGTTTTAGTTTTGTTATATTAATATTAGTTCCAATGTTTTTATTAATATAATACTTGATAAACATTATAGATTTATTCTTAAGTAATAAATATCCTATACTTCTATTCTATGAAATTTATAACAATTTATAAGTAATGAAAGTTTGAAAGTAAAAATAATAGCTTTCACTATTTATTGCATTTTAAAATGTGTGTAAAAACAATGAAGTATAAAAAAAAGTAATCACCTAGCACATCTAGATAGCCCACTTGAGACTGCATTTGTTCGGCATTGATTTGGCACATGTAGTAACCCTTGTCTGATATTTGGACATTATTTATATGGAGATACCATTGTCTGTGATTGTTATGCGATACACGAAATCTATTGTCTTGTAGTAAACTTTGCGTATGAATTGTTAGAAGAGTTGGTTCAGAGTTCTTGTCCATTTTGAGCCAGGCAACCTATATCAATTGTAGTATTTGCTTGTTATTTCGGTCAAAGGACTACTGTATTATTATATATAATATTTCTAACAAATTATACTAAAATTAAAATTTAATAATAATATGACAACCTCTTTTAATTGAAAGTAGATTTGAGTTTGTCATTAACATGTATTGAACTAAACATTTAAATTAATGATAAAAGTCACTATGAATTTATTTGACGATCAGAAAGTAAATGAATTATTATAATAATAATAACTTTTATTATGAGCTGTATTATGTAGTTAAGTAAAGTTAAGCGATCTCTCGGCTAATACTAACGTTAGCTTAACACTAATAATAATTGAGTGACTGATCAATAATTTTGTGCAGCGATTGTTGTAATTAATTTAATGAGACTTTTTGTAGGGTTAACAAGACTGTGATTGTTATGCGATACACGAAATCTATTGTCTTGTAGTAAACTTTGCGTATGAATTGTTAGAAGAGTTGGTTCAGAGTTCTTGTCCATTTTGAGCCAGGCAACCTATATCAATTGTAGTATTTACTTGTTATTTTGGTCAAAGGACTACTGTATTATTATAAATTTATATAATATTTCTAACAAATTATACTAAAATTAAAATTTAATAATAATATGACGAACGCATCAAATGACAACCTCTTTTAATTGAAAGTAGATTTGAGTTTGTCATTAACATGGATTGAACTAAACATTTAAATTAATGATAAAAGTCACTATGAATTTATTTGACGATCAGAAAGTAAATGAATTATTATAATAAAAATAACTTTTATTATGAGCTGTATTATGTAGTTAAGTGAAGTTAAGCGATCTCTCGGCTAATACTAACGTTAGCTTAACACTAATAATAATTGAGTGACTGATCAATAATTTTGTGCAGCGATTGTTGTAATTAATTTAATGAGACTTTTTGTAGGGTTAACAAGAAAGTTAAGCGATCTCTCGGCTAATACTAACGTTAGCTTAACACTAATAATAATTGAGTGACTGATCAATAATTTTGTGCAGCGATTGTTGTAATTAATTTAATGAGACTTTTTGTAGGGTTAACAAGAATGGAGTAATTTCTCTCATATTCTTATCAATTATTTTATACATAGAATCGAATGTATGCACAAAAAATCCTTTCAGTATCTAATACTCTAATAATCTTTTATATGATCTCAATTTCAATTTATTATCCAAAAGTATATCAATCAATCATTATACAAAACTTTATTTATAATATAGCAGTATAGTATTTGTAGAAAACAAACTTAATATTAAATATCTATTAAAACTTTTAGAATTATGATTAGTAAAATATATTAACGAGATAAGAGGTTGAATTAAAAATAACTAATAATTAAAACCCAAATACTCAATAAGATATATTTAATTATGTTTGACAATTTAATGATGTAATAGAATTATATGATATAATGATGTAAATATTTTTAATTTGATGGAAAAAGTATTATATAATTATTATACCCCCTGGACACGAGAAGTGAAAGGAGAAGGTATGGTTGATTGAGGTGTGGGTTATATGCTTATATATTGTATAAAATCATATAATATACGATAATATAATAAGCATGCATACATTTGTGTATAGTGTTCAAAATATAAGTGTACATACCTTATAATTGGCCAAATTATCAATAGTGCACTCAAGCATTGTGTTACGTCCTGTTGCTATCGACACGTTAGCCATGGGTTCTGCAAAACTAGGCATCAGTTTGGCTCTAACTGTAAGACAATATCATAATAAGTGCAAAGTTTAATGAATGCATCTTAAATTATTCATTAATATGTAATAAAATATAATTCGTTGACTCTTATCTAATGAACCACATGTTTACACAATGAGTATCATACAACTTATACGGTATTAAAGTTTTAGTTTAGCCTTTATGTGTTTTTTGTCTAAATTACAGTAATTGAATTTATATTATACATTTTTAATGACATTTAATAATTTAACTATCAATTCACACTAAAATTTAATCGACGATTTAATTTTCTCAAGAAGTGTATCAATTTATTAATTAAAACATTTTTGAAATTATTAAAAACTAATAACAAAGATATTAAATCATTAGAAATATATTTCATTTGTTAATTATAAAATAATGAATACAATAATTTACCATATTCTATATAAAAAACAAATTCGCTAATATTATGATTTTGATTAATTAATAAAATTACAATAAATTACATTAATATTATAATCATTTAATATTACTTATCAGATATTTTGCAGATCATGTCATATGTTTAATTTATTATTTAATATTAATAATTGCAAATAAAAGTTTTAGTATTTATTTTTCTTTGTATACATTCAGTGAAATTAATTTTATAGTCGATCTATAAATTTCAATTTATTCACTCTTTTTTGTGTTTTGTATTTTTAATTCAATTAAGTTTATGGAAAATTATAATGTTTTGAGTTTTGCGTAAATTTGTGCGCTTTGAAGCAAAAGTCTCTGTAATGAAGAGTACAATAGAGTGACTGTAAAACACTTACAACAGAGACTGTGTTAGGAATGTCTGAAATACAAGTGTTGTTCGCATAATGTATTCGAAGAGATTCTATTCCCCGTAGAAATTCGCAGAACACTCACACGAACACTCTCACAGCCGTATCAGAGCTTCATTCTGGACTTTTCTTCTTTCAATCTTTGCATTAAGACAACTGCACATCAAANCTCTGTAATGAAGAGTACAATAGAGTGACTGTAAAACACTTACAACAGAGACTGTGTTAGGAATGTCTGAAATACAAGTGTTGTTCGCATAATGTATTCGAAGAGATTCTATTCCCCGTAGAAATTCACAGAACACTCACACTCACACGAACATTCTCATTCTCATTCTCACTCTCACAGCCGTATCAGAGCTTAATTCTGGACTTTTCTTCTTTAAATCTTTGCATTAAGACAACTGCACATCAAAAAACATAATCACAACTTTACAACAAATATTAATATTAAAGCATTTACTGCCCATTTGTCATATTTATTCACAAACAGCTATTAAATTCCCAATTCA